TCCTAACCACCATCTTTCACTTGTGCTTCTACAATAGTCTAATTCATTTCCTTTTATGTGTTTCTTTTCCTTTACAATCTACTATCTACACTGCTTTTGATGTAATCTGTTAAAACCTAATTCTGATCATGTCATTTTATGGTTTAAAAATCTTTAAATAACTTATTTGTGCCTATAGTATTAAGTTAATATTCTACAATTTGATATACAGACTTTTCTTTAATATGATTTGAAGTCTCTTTACTTCTCTGGTCTCACCTATCACTGAATATTTCCTCATTTTTCGAATGTTGTATCTCTGTGGGCTGTCTTAACAAGCAACCCTCTATATTTCAGTTCACTTTGATATAGGTCACTATGTGATCTTTCTGAAATGCAAAAATAATTTTATCACTTTCTGGCTTAATATCCTCTGATGATTTACCATCACTATTGTAACTAAGTACTAATATTTACTACTATCTTTAAAGTCACTAATTATTTGCTCAGCATTGTTTCCTGAGCACATAATGTAACTTTGGTCTAGAATATTACCTTCTACTTAGCTTAATGAATGTATTCATCTTACTTTCAAGACTTAGCTGAAACATTTTCTCCCCTGAGAATCTTATCAAAGGGTTCCTATTGTATATTCCTTAGGACTGGCACATACCTATGAAATTCACTCATTCATTCAGAAAAATGTATGGACTGCCTTCTGTGTGCCAGGCTCTTGACAGGAAAAAAAACAAAACCCACCAAAAAATACCCAACTATTTTGACCTACATAAAAAATGACACTTTCATGGTCAGAACTACTGTATTTTTCCGGTGTATAAGACGACCCCCTAATTTTACAGTTAAAACAAAGTTTTAGGCCTATATTCGCTGTATAAGACTACCCCTCACTTCAAAGAAAAGACTTACTTTGCCGTCAAGATCTGCAGGTAATTTTTGTGCAATTTTGGTCTTTTGCCCCTGATTTTTGGTTGCCTTTTTTTTCGTTTCAAAAGTCATCTTATATGTCGGAAAATACGGTAATAGGTCAAAATTATTTCTCTCATGCAAGTTACTTTCTTAGAGAAAAGGCAGTAGGAAGTAAAAAGAGTAAGTAAAACGTATCTGTTACAAAATGGTGATAAATGTTATAGGAAACAATAAAACAAGGAAGGAGGATAGAATGTTCTGGAATGGAAGGGAAGATGTCTAAGCAAGAAGAGATGTTTGGAGAAGTATCTAAGGTGTATAGTGAACAAGCCATGGAGATATCTAGGGGGAAAACTCAAAAGCCTTGATGGGAGAGCTGGCATGTTTGAGGAATACAAAGGAAGCTAGTGTATGGATAGAGTAAGGTTGGTGTGGATTAAAGTAGTAAGAAATGATGTCAAAGAGATAAAGTAGATTCAATTTTTATAGGAATACTGTGTCGCTTATGAAAGTTGGCCTTTTACTCTGAAGCCATGGGGAGCCACTAGAGGAGGAAAGCAAAAGAGTGATATGACTTGATGCTCATTTTAACAGAAACATTTCAATGCTGTGAAGAGGATATACTTAAGGAATAAGGAACAAGACATTAGTAGGATACTAGAACACTCATTTAGGCAAGAAATGAAGGAAGCTTGGAGCAGAGTGATAATATTGGGGTTATAAAAATGGTTGGTTATATTTTTTAAGGTAGATCCACAAGGATTTCATGACCAATTGAACATAGAGTATGAAAGAAATAAAAAAAAATAATGTTGAAGCATTGGGCTTGGGCAAGTGATGGAAAGATTTTTGGAGAAGCAGTTAGGGGTGTGTGTTTGTGGGTACTGACTGGGTACTGACTGTTGGATTTGGCATCCTAGTGCCTTTAGAGATGTTGGCCTGAGCAGTTATGGGAGAGCAGTGGGAATGAAAGCTTCATTATAGTGAATTCAAGAGAGAATAGACAAAGTATAAATGGGCAACTATCCCACTTACACCGAAGGGATCCTTTTCATTTTAAAAGTGTTTCAATTTGGATGATAACTTACATGCTTATCCTAACTATATAGAAGAAAAAAAAATTTCAAGGATCATTCCTGGAAAATACAGCTGATTAACTGTGGTAAGCAAAGATTTTGTCTTTAAACATAAGAAACAGTACAGATTACTTGTTTTCTGGTGAAAATTATGCAGCATGTTGACATAAATTGGTGATATGGGGGATAAAGAGGAATATTTTGAGAATATTTTTGAAAAGGCAGTAGGGGATAGAAAGTTGAAGGCTTGGCCTTATGAGCTCAGTCACCCTAATTTTTCTAATGGGCAGGAAGGCAGAGTACATTGTTGCATTTTTCACATTGTATTTCATTGTTGATTTATTTGTTTACCCACATAGTGTGAACCTCTTAAGAGCAGTAAGAGTAAGAGTAAATGTCTTATTCATTTTGTGGTAAGAATTTTTATTGTTCTATTTCTATACTTACTACAATGCCTGGCACACAGCATGTATGCGATACATGTTTGAATGAACAAATGAAGACACTGTGCCAAGCATGTCTATGTTCTATCTTCTCACTCAGATTGGATCATTTCCATCAAATCTTGAAAACTACCTTAATTTAATTGAGTTTCTCCTGTCTTGGCCTACAGATAGCTTGACTAACTGGTAGGATTGATTAATAGGTGTGGCTGTTTCTACCAAAATCAATGCTGCTTTCTAGGAGTAAAATTAGTGCCCTTTTGCTGCATCATTGTTGCAGTGGTCCTGGTTATGCTTTTAATGTAAAATCACTATTCACTTTAACTTGAATCTCCTGAAAGATATCTATTCTCCTGACTATCCATTTGCCATTTATAGTTTACCTTTCATATAGTATTTATCATTGTCTGTTGTTATCTAACTTACCTAATGAATGGAAAACTCTCTGAGAATGGAGATTACATTGCTTCTTTCCATGTTCCTCCCTCCCCCACAATAATGCTTTGTGCCACCTTTAGTTAGAGAACATGTCTCAGTCACTACCACGTTAAAAATGCTTAGTCTAGGACTGGTGCAAAGCAGATGTCAAATAAGTGTTTGCTGAATGAATGAATGCATGCGTAAATGATTACTGTGTGTGGTGTATGCTGTTGGAACCCAGACAGATCTTATTTCTTGTTTGATGCACCCATACCTCAGTTCTATTTGCTTTCCTCTTAATAGGTTGTACCTGAAATCTTCTTCAAAGGACTATACTTGGACCATTCCATGGATGCCTTCCCCTTGGTAATCAGTATCCGATGACTGAGCTGCAGGAGTTTGGGAATCTAGCTGTTCTGCCTCAAGGCAATACGAGCTCACCAGGACATGCTATACTCTAGGGTTCCCTGTGGGATCAGTTTGAGGCCAGGACTTCACCTGAAATTGCACTTTGCTTGACTCATTATTCTTCCTTATCTTGCTTCCCCGGGCTCCCCTGTAGGTTTCTCCTGAGAACACCTCCTTAGTAGATCCCTTGCACACTCATCCTTTCCTTAGGGCCTGCTTCTTGGGAACTCTACTGAACACATTGCGTGTTTATAAGCAGTGATGTCAGGGGCAGGGAATTATATAACAACTTTCTCTCTAAGAGTGTCAAATTTTGCAGTGGTACGTGGTGTCTACAGCACCAACCCAAACTGTAGGTGACTGTTAACTAGATTTGATATTCGATTTGGTTGGTGGGTGAGAATTTCAGTAAATACATTTGTTGAATTTAGTAGATATGGAATTACAGGACTTTCTAACATGAAGCAGAATGTATTTTTTTAAACTTTCTACTCTTTTTGATTAAACACATCTCTGACATATGTTCTCTCTCCTTAAGTCAGAATAGTAAAGAGTTGATTGTCTAATCAATTTTTATACTATTGAGCACAGCTTTTCTTTGGTCTTTGTGTTGAATGTAAATATCTATCTTCACAAACCCACTAAACCATTTATTTTTTTCAGTGATTTGAAAAGAACACAAACTCCTTTGTCTGTAAAACATGATTGGAAGTAATCTATTTTAGAACTGAAAAGAGCGTTAGTAACCAGCTGGTGGCCAACACTTTTATTTTATAAATGAGACCAGTTGAGACCCAAAGAGGTTAAGTAATTTGTTCAATATCACCCAGCTTGGTCAGAAACAGAGCAGGACTACCAGCCAACTCCCAGGCTGCTGCACTTCTCACAACTCCACAGAATACATATTTATTATTCACCAAATTGATATGAGGATTAGGGACCACATCTGTGAAAAATAGATTTAGCCTTTGGAAAGAAAGATGCTGGATTGCTTTATAAAAGCTTTATGAAAACTAATCTCATTTTAACCTTTTCTGTGTAGTTGTTAGTTTTGCTCAGTTTTATGTTATTTGCCTCAGGTTTCTTTTTGGCCAAGGACTAGATAATATACAATTCTTGATTTAAAAATCAATATTAAGTATCCAGACTGTGTTAGAAATATGAAGTATTTCAGCTGGTTTCAAAGCCTGGAGCAGTTGAAGACGGCTTTCCAGAATGGCAATCATTTATGGACATGAAACATTTTCTATTCCTACTTTGCATATTGGGAATAAGGACAGTTAGTTCCAAAGAAAAGAAGGAAGCATAACATATATTTCTGTTCAGCTCGGTAATGCTTTCCTAGCTGGATGTAATGTGTCTTTAACAAACCATGAATTTCTCTCCTGCTGAGCCACCATATCCTGCCTATTTTCAGCATAGTCAGAGAACCATTATACTAATCCGCCATACCTTCCTATCTCTAGCAAGCACATGTAAGTGATAACTTTGAATACTTATTTTGATGCAAGCTGTGTAAATCTTCTCTATGTCTTCTTGTAAAGCGAGGAAATTGTGACTTGCACAACTTGGTTACTTTAATTGTTTGAGTTTGGTTCATTCAGCCACAGCATGCTTTGATATATGAACAAGAATGCTGTTTAATTTCTGTAGTAAGCGAAGTGATTTGTGTGGATTCATATATGTAGGCAAGATAAAATCTGAGTACCAAAAGGCTAAAGTAACTTTTATATATATTTTTAATTAGGTACGATTATATGCGCGACCCGACGCTATCAGAAGAGGATCCGGGGACTATGCTCTCCATATAACAAAGAGATTAATAGAGTTTTATGAAGACTACTTTCAAGTGCCCTACTCCTTGCCCAAACTAGGTAAGAATTGTCTTGGTTATCTTACTGGAAGGGGTCCAAGAAGGTGGAATTTCTTCTTCATGCATTTATTCAAGACATTCAGAAGCACAGAAATTTCAATGGTTATATATTTTAAAGACAATAAGCATGAAAATATTTTTTTTTTTCTGAAGAAGGTAAGATAAAATGTAGCATTTCTAAAGTCTTGCCAGAGAGTACTCATAGGAATTAAGAATGGCATCATCTAAATTTTGGATTCCAGAAGATAACCCCCAGAGCTACAGTTTGTTGAATACATACTGGGAAGGGGTACATGTGAGCATCTCATTTAATCACACCGCTGCTATGTGGGTATTGACTGTTACATTTTCCACCTAAGGGAACTGAGACCCAGGAGCCTTCCATTCATTCAGCCAGCCAGTGAGTAAAGAAGCTGGGATTTCAAGGAAGGTCTTTATAATTCCAAGACCTGTTCAATATTGTCTACTCCTTGTTTTGTGTCTTTCCTAATCTCAGATGTCAGATCTCAGTGTCTTAGTTATTCCTTAGATTAGTATTTTTGTTCAGTCACTTTTCAGGTAGTCAGGGTAAATAGAATAGAATCAAGAGAGAAGGGGAGTTTTAACAGTGGAGGTTGTGTTCATGATGAATATGCTTGCATTTCCTTCTTTTACAAAGAGAGTATGTTGGATAATTTTTTGTTGAATGAATAATGGATGAATTTTGTTATCCTAATTTAAATGAAGTTGCTGCTTTTTATTTATTTTTATTTAATGATTCTCCTACTCTCTGGTATACCAGTCTCTCTCTCTCCCTCTTTCTTTCTTTCTCCCTTCCTACCTTCCTTCCTTCCTTCCTTCCTTCCTTCCTTCCTTCCTTCCTTCCTTCCTTCCTTCCTTCCTTCCTTTCTTCTTTCTTTCTTCTTTCTTTCTTAAATCTTAACATGAGGATATTTTTCCCATTAATTTTCAGAGTGGAAAGGAGGGAGGTGGGGGGGGGGGGAGGAAGAGGGAGAGAGAGAGAGAGGAGGGGCACATTTATGTGAGAGAGCCTCCCACAAGCTCCCAATCCAAGCTGAGAATGGACACCACAACTGAGGCACAGTGCCCCTATTCAGGAATTGAACCTGTGACACTAACCCACTGAGCCTAACCCGCTGGGCTGCAGATGCTGCTTTTGCAGGGCAACGCACTCTGACTTTCCAGAAATTTAGGAAAGGCATGTCCCTCGGTAGAAATGCTGAAGTTGTTTTCCTTCTCAGAAAATCCGTTTTGAAAGATTACATCACTGTCCTCCTTTATTCCCCTCCCCTCTCTGGTAAAAAAATGTTAACATTTGAACCACAGGCTCTCCTCTCAGGAGAACTGGCCTATTTCATTAATTTCATTAAAGCACCTGCCTGCTGCGTAGCTTTCTGGTCTTACACTATATAGTTCAGAGAGTAGATAGAATAGTTGATACTGGGATCAATGGGTGTGGCATATAATTTTAATAAGTGATATTTATAAAATTCTGAGGCCTTTTTGAAATATATGCTCTTAGAATCCATATTGTATAATTTCAAATGTTAAACAAAATTGTATTTCAAACAGGATCCATGTTTTATTTTGTTTTTCTTCTGTCTGCTTTCTTTTCTTCTCTGTATTCACTTCCCTACTGGAGTCCATTACACTGAAATCTCCCTGGTAGGCACCCAAAGCGGGAAGAATACCTGACCTCATTTGCATGGGAGGTGACACTGTTCTGTACTCCAAGAGAAACTGACTGGGAGCTTCCCAGCTTGACCCTAATGTAAAATTCACAAGTGCTTATGCTGCAAGTTCAGCAAGAGAAATAAAATGTGAATCTTTGTCCCCTTCAGAACAGTAATTAGTACAGGAATCCAATTTATAACTTCAGGGGGTTCCCTGTGACTGTCAGCTTGCAGCAGGAAGCATCTCCAGTCCTCTAGTTCACTCACAAGTGAACCATGCAGGCTTTCATCTACAGAAAAGAGCTCCGTTCACTGCTACTCATACTTGTTAAGCTACCTTACCGTGTATGCAATTGAATGATTTGACTCACCCCAGCACACTTCTTTTTATGTATTTAGGGGAGTTACCATAGCCTGTGGCACTTCCTAAAACTTATTCTAAAGTTCTACTTATTTTTGTATATCTACTGGTATAGATATCTAGCTTTATATGTTAATGGATTTATAAGTTTGTTTTCTAAATACCTCCTCTACAAAAATTCCTAAGTACAGAAGCATTTTGACAAATTCTTACTTTCCATTGTATATGATGAATTATATTTTAAATAAATTCCATGGAAATTAACTCTGTCTTTGTTAATGTAGAGATATCATAGATATCAGACGTGACTGCCTTGAACATTTAGAACTAAAATGGTTTCCCTTCCTTCCTTCCTTCCTTCCTTCCTTCCTTCCTTCCTTCCTTCCTTCCTTCCTTCCTCCCTCCCTCCCTCCCTCCCTCCCTCCCTCCCTCCCTCCCTCCCTCCTTCCTTCTCTCTCTCTTTTTCTCCATTCCTCCCTTCCTCCCTTCCTTCTTTCCATCCATCTTTCAATAAACATCTATTGAGTGCCTCCTACAGGTACTTTGCTATGTGACAGGGATACAGCAGCAAGTAAAAAAGACAAAAATCACTTCCTTCCTGGGGCTTACATTTCTTAGGTAGAGGCAGACCCTAAAGCAATTAGTAGCACATAAAGTATATCAGATGGAGAGAAGTACCATTAAAAATAAACCTGGAGCAGAGGAGCAGGAGGTGTGTGGAGCAGATCAGACATGGGCAAAGGGCTGAATCTTTTAAATGGGTGAGTATTGAGGGCTTTATTGGGAAGCTGACTCTTGAGCAAAGAACTCAAGGACATGAAGGAGTAACCCCCAAGTGGAAAAAGTGCCCTGACTTTGAGATGGGAGCTTTGTTGGAGTAATTAAGGAACAGAAAAGAGGCAGGTATGACTAGAGCAGTATGGGTTAAGGAGATAAGGTCAAGGTAAGTAGCAGATCATGGAGAGCCAGCAGACTGTGGTAAAGACTTTTGCTTTTTCCCCTGGGTGAGAAGGAAATCAATTGGTCAGTTATTAGAAGTATTATATAATCTGGTTTCTGTTATAAAAGGGTATTATGTGGGTCAAGTACTAGTATACTGTGGGGCAGTGGTGCTCAGACAAGGTGATTTTTGTCCTTCAGGCACTTGGCAATATCTGAAGACACTTTTTATTTGTTACAACTCAAGGAAGGGGTGGTAGAGTGTGTTCTATTGACATTTAGTGGGTGGAGGCCAGGGATACTGCTAAACATCTTACAGTGCACACGACAGTCTCCCATAATAAAGAGTTGTCTAGCCAAAATGTCAATAGTGCTGGGACTGAGAGACCATGATATAGGTAGAAAGGTCAGAGGCATAAAAAGCAGTTAAGAATATATGGCAAAATATGATGGTTGCCAGATGGGCTGGGATGTTAACAGAGAAATGATCTGGATGTGTATTGAAAGCACAGACAAAGATTCACTGCTGAATAGGATGTGGGGTATGAGAAAAAGGCAGGTATGAAGGGCAATTCCAAGGTTTTTGGTCTGAAAATTTGAAGAATGGATTTGCATTTTACTGAGACAGGACAGTTGTGGAAAGAGGCAGTGTTTGAGATTGAAAGGTCCATTGAGCATTTAGGTGGCACCTTAATGTCTATAGGAAATTCAGCTAGACAAATGCATTTATAACTTTGGACTTTGGGTTAGAAATCTGGCTAGAGAAATTCATTTGCCAGCATGTCAGGATGGTCAGGACCACCACAGCTCTGAGAGCAGGTAGGAAAGAGAATAGGAACGAGGAGGGATGGATTCAATGTTTAGTGGGTACAGAGATCAGGAGCCAGGAAAGCCTGCTGGTTGACAAAAAGCAGCTGGTTGAGGTAATAAGAAAACAGGTATTTGTTCCAGGCATCTAACAAATAGAACTCTTCAAAGAGGGCAGATGATAAATTGTGGTAAATCCTGTTAGATGAGGACTGTGAATTGACCATTAATTGGCACTTGACAAGGGCAAAAGCCTGATAGGTGTGTTCAAGAGCAAGTGGGGGTGGGACTGGGGTTCCCAGTGCAGAGGGTTCTGGGAATAGGGGGAGAATTATTTGTGTTCTGCTAATGCTCACCTCTGGATAAGAGCTGTCTCTGTGAACTAATGGCGTCCTTACCGCACAGATCTATCCCTGTCCCACAGCATGTCAGGGGCAGGTGTGGAACTTGCCTTTTTCTTTGATTTTTCACTAGAAAACCCAAACCTGAAACACATAAATAAGAACACTCTCCACCAGTTAACCTGAATTTACTGAGAGCTATGTGTGCATGCCAGAGTGTTACATTGCAAAAACCAAACAAGAAAGCAACCTTAAAATGTAATATTGGAGCCTCTTTTTCTCAGAATTCCCTTTGCCTTTCTATCACAAACTCTTCAATATCCCCTTTCTTCAATCTTCCTAAGTTCTTTTTTTTTTTTTTTTTTTCATTTCAAATGCTGAATAGTTTAACTTTTTCTGCTGTGGAATCGTCTCATGCCAGCTTATCTATAAAGATCTGAGTTTCCATACCAAGTAGTTTATCAGAATAGTTCCCTACGAGGAATTCTGATGCTCACTATTAGGGCAATACATTTATTCTCTTGTTACACAAGACTATTTCTTTAATGTTTTTAAGTCAAAATATGCAGCCAGTGTACCTGTGGGAGGATGTATTTTGAAAATCTCAAACTTAGGGAATTAGGAGTATTTATATGAGGTTTCTCTTTCTTGGTGTTAAGTTGTAATAAGAGGCATAAAGTCTTTTGGATATAATCCAAGTCTTTGGGTATAGAATGTGCTCTGTTTTCACGAGAATGCTCTGAAGCCCTGAGGTTTACTTAAAAACAGGTTGTTATGTAAAAAATCATCTTTCCTCTCATCCCCAAGCATAATGACCACAATTACAAAAACAAATGGGCTTGTGTTTACTGAATGTGGGTCACCCTTGAGGGCTTTGTAC